CTCTTGAAAGTACCTGCCTTCTCCTTTGAAAGTATTACTGACAGCAGCTTTTCCTTCTCTTTTTTCTTTCCTTCTTCAAGGAACCCTGTAATTTCTTATTCTTTCTCCCCTTTGCTTTTGCTTTCTTGTCCTGTCCCCTGAACTCTTTGAAATCGCCTCTCTGCCTGCTGACACCAAACTGATACTTTGCGTTTCACTTCTCCTTATCCCTTTATGGCAACAGATGTTGAAATTTTGTATCCTTTTATCTGCCCGGCTGCCCTTTCCTGTAATTACGTCGCCTTGTTAGCAGTACAAAGTGGGCTGGCCGCTGCCTGGCCTTTGAGCCATTGTGTCTGAACACGTGTGCTCTGGTGGGTGCTGGAGGGGAGGCATGCTCACACACATACATGTGACAGACACTGTGTGCCTCCTCCTCCTCCTGACGTAGCAGGGACGATACATTTCAACATCATCCCCACATCTCCACTGTTAGGTTTGAAATCTGGGGCAGGTGGCTCAGTGGGCAAGGGTACTTGTCACTGGGCCTGACAGCTTGAGTTTGATCCCCAGAACCTCTATGGGAGGAGATAACAGATTCCTTTAAATTGCTCTTTGACTTCCATAAGCACAACCTTGTCAGGAAATGTTTAAAAACATTTTTTTTTTGGGGGGGGGAGGGGTTTCTTCCCTTGATTCTCTTACTAGAGGACCAGCCCCTTAGGCACCTGAGAGGTAGAGAGGCCTGCAGAGTACAAGTGAGGACCTGAAGGTGGACCTTGTATCTGCTAGGGCAGGGCCAGGGCTTGCAACCAGCTTGACCCTCCCGTTCCCACAGGGGCAAGTCACAGGTCTCCTGACATGTGGCAGGGCCCGCTCACCCACACATGACAGTGAGAGACCAAGACACAGAACTGGCGCTCTGTTGTTACAGGGAAAAGTGGTAGACTTGGAGGCCTAAAAGAACATGGAGTTAAGCTGGGCATGGTGCTGCACCCTCTAATCATAGCACTCAAGAGGCAGAGGCAGGTGGATCTCTGAGTTCAAGGACAGCCTGGTCTACAGAGTGAGTTCCAGGACAGCCAGGGCTCCACAGAGAAACCCTGTCTCAAAAAACCAAAGGGGTCGGGGAGAGGCCTATTCTAAGGACCACATGAGCCAGTAGGTGTGAAGTACTCAGTGTAGGCCTTCCAGACTCAGGGACTCAACTGTGTGAGCTGCTCCAGAGGTAGCAGCAACTCCTTCACCACGAGACCTCCACAGCCGTTCCCATTAGGTTACTACCAGGCTGGCTTTGCAGCTCAGCCTGTGTCCTGGATTCTGTCTTCTTGGTATGTGACTTGAAAATATTTCCTCTGTAGCTTTGGCTTCTTTATTCCCAATCAGAGGCTAATCTGAGACTACTACTCGGCCCCAAAGCCTCACAGTGCTTCATGACATTAGGGATGTGTGTGCATCCACAGGTGTCTGAGGGACGGATGCCGGAGACTGCCATGTGTTCCCTCACATTGCCAAGCCTCTAGCCGAATCAGATGGCCAGCCTCATCACCTTGTCATTGCTATCCATCACAATCCCATCATTACCTAAAGAATCACTCATTCTCCTTCCTGAAAAATGTCTCTTTACCTTATAGAACGTTCTCTTTTCTCTGTATTGTTAGCTGAGTATAAATTTAGACTTCTCTCCCTCACTGGACAGTGTCTTCTTCATAGTGCAGCTCCCATCTCCCTGTAGTTTCTGTTCATGCACAATACCTTGCATGTAGAAGGTGCTTGGTTAATGGTTAAGGGAGGAGAGAAGAGGGGAAATGATTGTTCTTGAGTGCCTCTGGGCCTGATTTAACTTACAGGCCATTTGCTCTTGGAGAGAAGAGATACACTGCTTGTCATACTTCAGTCTTTCAAAACTACTGTTAAGGTTCAGAGACTCCAGGGAGCACCATCAGCACCAGAATGTTAAAAGTAGCTGGAAGATGGTGTGAGAGCCACAGCATGCATCCTGTGGGCTGGAAGCCTCAGAATACTCTAGTGCAAGAAGCTTGTGGTGATAATGTGGGCCAGAGGTATCAGGCCTGGGCTGAGAATGAAGTAGGGCATGGTGTTTAGACTGGAAGGTTCAGGCTGGAGGGGCAGGGGATGCCTGTCAGCTTGACCATAGCGGCTGACGGTGGTGCATTATCTCACTTTTCTTCCTTCTGGTCAGCAGGTGAGCCAGGCCCAGGACACCTGATTGTTCTTTTGAGACTCCTCAGGGATGCGGTCCCACACAGCTTGCTTCTCCCTGCACAGCACTAGAGGCTGTGCCACGGGATCAGGCCCTCAGCAATCCCTGTCTCATTCCTCCGGGCTCACCCTGCAGGCCGCCCCATCTCTCTGTGTCGTTCCTGGCTGGAGAGAATTATTGGAGTCAGGCTCAGGAGGCTAGGGTGTGGAGGTCTCCGGCCCTCAGCAGCTCCTGGAGGCCTATGCTTTGTCTGCAAGAGTCGGAAGGGAAGGGACTTTTTGTCTGGCTCTCTATAGTGACAAGCCCAGTTCTTGCTCCTGTCTTGGCCTGGGGCTCTGAGCAGCAGCCCTGTTCCCACACAAGTTGTGGGACAGCCAAGTCTCTACACATGCCACCCCCTTTACCCCCTACAGTGAGAGGCCGAGAAACATTCTTAACATTCTTTCTAGAGAAAAGGGGTGAAATGTCTGAATTTGGGGGTCACCACGTTATACAAATTGCAATCTAATCGTTTTTACAAGAACACACTTGCCGTGAGAACAGCAGCACGGGGGGTGAGCAGACAGACAGACAGACAGACTGTGAGGGCCATTGTTGGTCAGTCTCCCTCCATCACAACAGTTAAGCTAGTTTGCTACTTAAATTGGGCCTGGGGTGGGAACCTGAAGGGCCCGTGGTGCCATTTCTGTTTGTTTTCCCAAATCAAAGCCCCAGCAGGGCCCCCGTGGCACTGCTGGGCTACTGTTAGGACAGACAGGCCTTTTCCCAGAGCCCCGTGTGTCAGTTGATGCTCTGAACTTAACCTTGCGGGGCTATACAACAGCCTGGAGGCCTCCAGGCCAAAGAAACTGTTTCTTTGTAGTGGTGGTTTAGAGTGTGTGGCCCCTTGAGAGTCCCAGCAAAGGAAAGCAGGGACTTCCCAGGCTGGGACAGGCAGATGAAGGGCTGGGCCTTTGGGTCTCCCCAGACCCCTTGGGCAGTGGACAGGATCCAGATTGGTGGCTCAATCTGGATGTGCCCCCTCTCACTTCTGACCCGCCAGCGGTGGGTACCCAGCTCTGATTCTCTCAGAATCCCAGCAACACGGTGGACAGGCAGATGGGGCTCCACCCCTACACCCGGTCTTTCATCTTCTGTTTCAAACAAACATGAAATTACTTCCATAGATTAAAGAGGAGAGAGAGCTCCTCAATCACTCCTTCCAGCCTCACTAATGGAGTGGGCAGGGCCCCAAAACCTGGAAAGGACAGGGAGAACTGTGGAGGACCAGCTCCCACCTGGTGCACACAGATGCAAGTGGGCCTTTGAGATGGGCCTCTGCCCGCCTCCATGGCTGTCAGGTTGGTGGCTGTTCTAGGAAGGCAGAGTCTCTAGAAGCAAGGCCAAGTGGTCCGTATCAGACCCTGACCTGGCGAGATGTCTCTGGCCCCCCGGAGTCCCTGACAGATAGGCCTGTCTCTATCTCCTCAGGCCAACACTGGGCCACTGCATACCTCAAGGAGATCCCTGGGAAGGTGGCTGGCACAGAGGTGCCCGTTCGGGACTTAACCCTTCAGTGGACAGCAGTAGTGTTCCTTGGAGGCCTTCACAGTGTTCACAGTGAAAAGCTAAGTAGGTAACTAGAGAGCCCCAGCTTCCTCCTTCAATGCTTTTTACAATGGCTGCCTTTTTGGGAGTAGGCTGGGTGACAGTGAGTGATTAAGGACAGCTTGGAGCTGAAGTCTCCATTTAGACACATGGCTGGCAGCCCAGCCCGCTTCAAGCCCTTTGTGGGGCACTGCTCAGGCCACAGTTGTGCTTTTGAGTCAATGAAATCCCCTCTTGCCCTGTGCCCAGGCCTCTTACCTGAGCATCCCTGTGATGTGTTCAGGACCTTGTTTCTCCCATCACACCATGGAGCGCGGTGAAAAGGAAGCCGAGGCGCTGGGCCCAGAGGGTGCCTCTTCCCCTTCTCCCCTCCACACATCCTGCAGAAGCTCAACACAGCCACCATTCCCTGGCCACAAGGATTAGCTGATGCACTTGATATTGAGGGGCAGTTGCTAGGGCCAAGAGGCCCCCCTACGTGGTTGCTAGGGGTCTGGCATGGGGTGAGAGGTCTGCCCACTGCCGCGGTCACGGAGGGAATTACACAGTCACAAAGAAATTGTTCTTCTCAGTAATCTGGTCTCGGCCACCGGGTGGGGTGCGGGTGGGGGAGCAGGCTGGAGCCCAGCAGGCTGGGGGCTGTGATCACAGAGGCGTGCTAGCCCTGGGCTGGGGGCCAGGGACCGGGAACACCAGGGACCAGCACGCTAAGCTGCTTTCTCAGCTATTTCTGCCGCTGGACACAAAGGTGTTTACTTGTTTTAACATCTCCTAGGACTCCCCTTTCTCCCTTTGTGTGGTCTTTATCCCCAATAAGGTTTGAGCCCCAGATTACAGGCAGGAATTAAGGCACTGGACTCGGGCAGCTCAGAACTGCATGACCTGCCAGATCAAGGAGTATAAAGTAGCCAAGTGTGTGCTTGTGAGGGGGCGACCCCTCCAGCGAGACCCATTCACTGCCCCAGGGACCAGGCAGCCAGCATGCAGGTGTGATGGAGGGCTGCTGCATTTGTCCCGCTGAGGCCTCAGCTGGGGTCGGGATACCGGGGGAGGGGTGGGCAGTTTCCTAGTTGGAGGTTCAGTAGCTAGGATCTCCTCCCTCAGCCCTCTCCCTCAGGGAGCACCCCCAGGAGATGGAGAGCTTTATGAGAGATTGCGCATGGCCAAGGGGGACAGCCGTTCACTTTCTGCCCTTCTTTCCCTCCCGCAGTGGGCAGCTGATCACACATCTGGGCAGTGATTTCCCCCCAGGGGCTGGGGTGCTGGATGTCATGTATGAGTCCCCCTCTACACTGCTGTCCTGTGGTTACGACACCTATGTTCGCTACTGGGACCTCCGCACAAGTGCCCGGTGAGTGTGCCGGATGGGCACCAGTGCAGGCAGTCCTGGGTCAGCCCAGGGCAGGGCACAGAGACTCCTGTCAAGTTCAGGTTCCCTACCCTCAGCCCACTCTGGTCAGTGTGGCCTGGGAGACTGAGGACGACAGACATTTCTCAGAGCATCAACAGGTCAGCAGGAAACTGCTCTTGGCATCCTCTCCCAGATCTCGTGAGGCCTGTGTGCATCTCTCGTGGATCCTAGGTCAGGTAGTCTGCCAGGAGAAGGGAGATGAGGCTGTGTTGTCTCTGTGGCCCCAGGCTCGCAGGAGGCCTCTGCAGAGGACCCTTTCCCATTAGGTCTGGTTGTTAAGAAGCTGCTGAGTCAGGAGGGTACCCAAACCTGTCGGTATCTCTCTCTTCGCGGACAGGAAATGTGTCATGGAGTGGGAGGAGCCCCACGACAGTACCTTATACTGCCTGCAGACAGACGGCAACCACCTGCTGGCCACAGGCTCCTCCTACTACGGTGTGGTGCGGCTCTGGGACCGGCGCCAGAGGGCTTGCCTGCATGTAAGTGTCCCGACCAGCACATGCCTCTGGGGTGGCAAGACTCACGGTGGCCAAGGTTGTGCCTATGGTCCATGTCCCCGTTCCACTGGGTCTGGGACTCCTAAGTTGGGGCAGCCCATTTCCCAACTGGAATGCTCTTCTCATCCTGTGTCCTCCTCTCCAGGCCTTCCCGCTGACATCGACTCCACTCAGCAGCCCTGTGTACTGCCTGCGATTCACCACCAGACATCTCTATGCCGCCCTGTCTTACAACCTCCACATCCTAGACTTTCAGAACCCATGACAAACCAGCCCTGCCTCTGGGCTGGGCAAGTAAGCTAGCTACTCAGGGACCTCTCGTCTGGCACGTGAAGTGACTGCTACCTCACTCCTCTTCCCAGCCCCGCTGTGCCGCACTGTGCTGCTCCTAGACCGGCGGCGGCCACACCACAAGGCCCTGGCACCTGAAGCACCGCCTCCTGGACCCTGGCGTGACTGATGTAGGCTCTCCCAGTACCTGTGGTCTTAGGAGAATGGACTTGAACTCAGGTGTGTACAACAGAGTCAAAGTCAGGGCCGGGGCTGGCAAGGCCAACCCTGTCCCCAAGCCCTTCAGAGCACTATAGCAGCCTGAAGAGTGAGGTGAGGGCCCCCCACCATCCCAGCTGGAAAAAGAGGTGCAATTAGTTGCTGGAACTTCTGCTGGTACCAGCCGCCTCCTCAGTCAGGTCTCGACTTTGGCCAACTTCTTGGAGCTGGGGGCTCATTTCTGAGACACTAGCCTGGTTTTGCTTTGAAACTAAGACAAGGACAAAGGACACCTGTCAGTTTGGGGTTCTGGGCTAGCCATTCCTCAGGCCAGCTGTGGGAAACGTGCTATGATTTTCATTTTTGTAAAAATAAAATTTGGTTGTTCGCAAATCTGATTCTTTGTGGTTAGGTCATTCTAGAAGGCCCCGGGGAGGCAGATCAGATTTAAACTCAGGAATGTATACAGGGGAAAGGACAAAACCGTGGCTCCGTGTCCCCAAGAACAAAGGTTTTTCTTCCACCTCTTTGGGCTGTGGACAGGGGGCTGTGGACAGGGGACTGTGGATAGGGGCTGTGGACAGGGACTGTGGACAGGGGCCTGTGGACAGGGAGCTGTGGACAGGGGCTGTGGACAGGGGCTGTGGACAGGGACTGTGGACAGGGACTGTGGACAGGGGCTGTGGACAGGGACTATGGACAGGGGCTGTGGACAGGGGCTATGGACAGGGGACTGTGGACAGGGACTGTGGACAGGGGCTGTGGACAGGGGCTATGGACAGGGACTGTGGACAGGGGACTGTGGACAGGGGCTGTGGACAGGGGCTGTGGACAGGGGCTGTGGACAGGGCTGTGAACCCACGGTCACCTACTCTGGTGCACCACACACACCTGTGACAACCTGTAGGCTTGCTCACTTGAACCACAGTGTCTTAACTTTCTGTGCCTTTTCCAAGATTGCTCCCATCTACCTCAGGGGGTTTCTTCCCCCGAGCTGCCTGTATAAGACAAGGCAGCACAGGGGTTCACAAGCTGCCCGGCCCCGTCCTCCTCTCCTCTCCAGGGTGGAGGGTGGTGGGTGGGTTGTCACACTGACACCTTCCCCAGGAAGGCCGGGTGCTGAGGACAGGCACCCACACAAGTGGACAACAGGACAGTCCTCCTAGAGCGACTCCAAATGACTTTACTCAGGAACAAAACCACGGGCAGAAGCAAGCTGTGTCCCAGAAGCCAGTTCCTCGGACTCGGTAATTCCCAGAAGCAGCTGCCCCGTGCCGGAAGAGCCCGCGCCTGGTCGTCTCACAGCTCCCTCCACACTGGAGGCACAGGCTTCAGACAGCTACTGGGTCTTACAGTCCCCGTCGCTGCTGTGGGCCGTCTTTACCTTCTTTAGCTCCTTCTGGAGCTCTGACTCTGCCGCCATGACCTCCTTTGGCTTCTGATACTGTGGAGGGAAGCAGGGAGGAACTAACTCGTCACTAGCCCCGCCCTCCACACGCTCCCTCTGGCTCTTCAGGATCCTTGCTGGGGTCCTGTGGCGGGGAGGAGCAGTCCCGGATGACAACCCAAGTCCTGTGCTTTGCACCACCTCCCCATGGCACTGTTGGGTGTCAGGCCCCACCCCTCAGATGAGCAGGAGCCGCCTGCTCTTTGACAGGCACACCTAGGATTTGGGGTGTCTGGAGCAGGGAAGTGGGGGGGGGGACCTCTTCCTGATGTCAAGTCTGGACAAATCTTACAGAGATTATCAGGGTGCAGTTGGCGTGAGCAAAGCTCAGTGCAGAGTCATCCAGAGGAAGCTGGTGTCTGTCTAGGTCAGGAATGGAGAACTTCTTGTAGTACCTGTGGGGACACCAAGAGGCTGCTGGGGAGCCAGCACAGTGACCCCGACAGTCGGGCACCCGGCCCTCTGCTACCAGATTTCTCCACAGCTCTCCCCCACTTTCTATACAGCTGGACAGGCAAGGGAAACCCACAAGAATGACCTGGTGTTTGCGAGTTTGTGGTTCTGGACTCAAAAGGATGATGGTAGCCTTAGGCCAGGCCAACCAAAGGTGAGCAGAGCCAGTGGGAGTTCTGAGATAGCCCGGGGGGCAGAGTGACTCTTCACACAGGGCTGGCACTGCCAACTATACAGGAGCCTTCCAAGACTCACGGGGACACCAGAAATGGGACATCTAACAAGCATCAGCAGACGGCTAAGGCTTCTTACCTAAGCAGTACAGTTACTCCTTACATGAGACCTCACTGAAAGATTGGGACACATCTGTCCCCACAATGACAACCATGTGTCTTTTTTTTTTTTTTTTTTTTTTTTGGTTTTTCAAGACAGGATTTCTGTGTGGTAGCCCTGGCTGTCCTGGATCTCACTCTGTAGCCCAGGCTGGCCTCAAATTCACAGAGATCTGCCAGGCTCTGCCTCCCAAGTGCTGGGATTAAAGGCATGCGCCACTGCTACCCGGCTCTATGTGTGTTTCAAGGTCTCATAGACTGACTACTAAAAGCAGACAGGGAAGTCCACCTCAAGAAGCAGTCTTCCTGGGAGGACAAGGCATGAGACTGAGGGACCCCGGATCTCAGATTCTGGACCTCTTCCTCTCTCCATTTTCATATAGAGTAAACACAACCAACCAGAGTGCAGATAACAAGGCTTTGCCAAGAGGAAATGTCATTGAGATGGAGGTGGGATCCTGCCTGCTTTCCTGGCAGCTGTCAGTTCGGAGTCAGGATCAGAGATTTCCTCATGCCTGCTCCACCTGATGCTGACTTAGACCAGGGCCTAAAGGAAGGGCCTTCTTCTCCATTTCCTTGGTGGACCTGTGGGATGGGCACTGCCAGAGCCCTACCTGGACAAGTCACTTTCTGTACAGGGAGAGGCTGTGTGGGCTGAGGAGGGAAATGCCTCAGGCAGGTACAAACAAACTCGAGAAGGGCCTGCAGAGAATGGGCTTTTAATCCTTCAGAGGGCCCTGGCCCTTGTGACAGTTACACTGAGTCCACTTCAAAAGCCCTGATGCCCCGGGGATGGGGATGGAGAGCAAAGCAGTGCTTCTGCGGTCTTCCCTGCCCAAATCCCTCCGTTCAGAAGAGGCTCTGGGGCCCCTCTCTTCCCAGGTTCCCCTCTCCCCACCAAGGTGCTGGGACTCAAGGCAGGAAAAGAATGTTTATTTAAAGACTGACAGTTCAAAAGGAGTGGGGGCTGGGGATCCTAATGGTGAGGCAGTGGCGTTCTTTTCCAAAGCTCTGCCCCGGGGAAAGCGATCCATCTGCCTGCAATGGATGGAATGCCTGCTTCATCCTCTTCCCAGCCATCAGGCCGAGTGAGGGCTTTTCCTGGGGCCCTGGTCTGGCCAGCAAAGGTGGCAGACACTGATAATAGCAGGAGGTCAAAGGTTAAACAGCGGAGATTAGGTGAACACAAAGGCTTGTTAGGAAGTGTTAACATCTTCCCTGCAAATATACACAGAAAGCAGGACCAGGAGAGAAGCACCTCCCACCCCAGGCGGGACCAATGGAGGAGAAGCAGCCCCGCTGTGCCCCCACCCATGGCAACTTCAGGATCACAGAGAATTTAAAGGTGTATGTATGGCTTCCTTTATCCTCCTCCTGCGACCGACTGCCAGGGAAAGCAGGCCTGAGAGGGTTGGGTTTGCTTTGCATCTATGATGGATTTCGTTTACTGGGTGAGGTCAAAGAGCCAGTGCTCGCGTCTCCTGACATCAGGATGCTATGGAGTAAAGGGCTCCACCTTTCCCTCTGCACAGCTGCCCCAACTCACCTTGAGTTTGCACCACATAACTGAACTGGAATTGTTCACCAGGACCTGGATGAGAGGAACCCACTGTGCTTCTGGAAGTCAGAGTGCCTTTTTGTCCCACTCTGCTTGTATCCCTGCCCAATTCCCTGCGACCTTCTACCCAATCCCTGAGACCCCTGCCCAATTCCCTGCGACCTTCTACCCAATTCCCTGTGACCCCTGCCCAATTCTCTGCAACCCCCTACCCAATTCCCTGCGACCCCCTACCCAATTCCCTGCGACCCCCTGCACTGTGAATGGACAAGGGGTACAGATTAGGCTCGGTGGAAGCCCCAGAAGGAGAGCTGAGGCAGGGCACAGACCCTGCCCCACACTCCTCTAGCCTGCACACTGGCTTGGCAGGTATCCAGAGAAGTCTCCAGCCAGTCCTGCCCTGAGAGTGGCAGCAGGTAAAGCTTAGACCTCAGGCGCTAGGCAAACTACACGGTTACTTCCGGGGGCCCACAGAGTCACAACGAACAGGCCCACACTCAAGGTTCTCAGTCTCACCAAAGGGCGTCCCACCGAGTCTGACTGTCTGGAAGCTGTCCGAACATGGAGTCCTGTCGTCTAGTAATGCTCACTAATAAAGCCAGCAGTTAGAGTATCTATGTCAGGTCAGGCAGGCTCTTCCCATCCCTTGCTCTCGCAGCTTGGCCATGGTACAGGGCGCATGCATGCATGTGAGGTCAGATTCCTCAAACCATCGTGAGGTAGTGTAAGCATGCTTCTCACGAGTGAGGAGAACTTGGCCAGAATCTACCGTTGACACCTAGCAGAGGCTAGATCTAAGCCAGTCTTCCCAGGCTGAGACACGGAACCTTCCTTACACAAACATGCTTATCAGGACCAGATAGTACCACACCAGGATCCTGCAGAAATGGTTTCTTCCTTCCCGATTCATGTTATTAATGCCCAGGGCCAAGGACTAGACTTCCACAAGACACTGGAATCAACTTCTTCAAGCCAAATTCAGTTCTGCAGGGGCCAGGCAGATACCAACAAGGCAACTGTGTGTAGCTGTGGTCAGGAGCCACATTCTAGAATTTTGAAATGTGGGCACACCTCCAGGTGAAGAAAGGTGGAGGCCTATGTAAATGCATAGGACCTGAGCGAGAAGGCCACACTCTCTGCAACACTTTGTGCTGACTTTTATATGCGTTTCTACAACCATTAATACAGAGATAAGAATAAATACGCTTCATGTCCACCTCTGGATGGTGTGATGATCAAGAAAGAGATTCTAAAAGTATTCTAAAAAATTTAACCCTGCTCATATAACACACTTGTGTTTCGTTGGATGGCTGGAAGTGCAGGTATTGACTGTATTTCTCCAGTTGGAAGGTAGAAATTCCATTAGGCACAGCAAAGGGCTGGTTAAGTCGGGTGGCCTCTCCAGCCTACTTCCTAAAAGAGGGACCTGCAGGGGGCAGGCTGAGCCTGGTTAAGATTCAGAAACACAGTTCCAAAGTGAGTACCAAAATACCATTTTTTCCCTCTGTGGGAAGCCCCCCTCCTAGGGTACCCCTCCCACCCTGCCTTGCCTCCAATAGCATCTCAGAAAGTCCCCAACTCCTGCCCTTGGGTGCTAGGATGCTCCACTAGCCACGGAGCCCCTGGCCAACAGCGCCACCTATGGCACATACAGGATATGAGTGCAGGAGATGGGGCCCAGAGGATCTGCTCACAGATGAAGTTTTTGGTGAGCTAGCTGGCCTCTCTTCTAGCACTCGCTTGTAATCACATTTCTGCCTGATATCTGTATTCCACAGTGACCTCTGGGGGACAAAAAGGAGGCAGCAGCCAGCTCCACAAAGCGCTGAGCTGCAGATTCAAATGCTATCAGAAGCACTTTTGTTCCCAGTTTGGACCCAGGGCTTCGTCCGCCAGGGAATGCTTGCTGAAGCACGGACTTTGTTTTCCTACAGGCAATTTCTCTGTTGTCTGAAATTGCTAAATTCCACTTTAGGCACTGACTCCTGTTAATGATGAGAACAATAACGGGAACAAACGGCCTTTTATCTGAGGACTTCAGTGTGCTTTATAAACGCAAACCCTTATTATTATGACTTTATATTTATAGACAAGGTCCACTACAGGGGCTGTTGGCTGCATGCACAGCAATAATCCTGAAATTAATTCATTCATCTCTACCCTTTCCCTTGTCCCCTCACCCCTGCCAAAGTGACAGGGCGTGGTGGTGCTAAGAGGAGAGAGGCCCAGGCCTACACTGGAGGGCTGGCGGTCCTCTGCCTCCCTGTAGGTAGGCCTCTTGGACTAAGGGAGACTGCACCACGTCACCTGCCGGAGGGGCAGCTCTCCTCTGAAGCAGCAGTGGGATACAGACACCATGGGGTTCGGCCCTGTACCTCAGGCAGCAAGTTGGGTAGTTTGGCAGCTTGTGGATGAAACGGATTCATTTCTAGATTCTTCAACTGTGATCAGTCAGGGCACCAGAAACCCAAAGTAATCATACCTTGGCCACCTCTCAAACCACAGCACCCACTGCCTACCCCAGCAGATTATAAAGGGACTCTGCAACAGAATTCTAGAGATTTCTGAGAGCCAAAATTCTGCCTACTTCCCCTTAGTCCAGGGAGGGACGAGGGCTGCTGCTGCAGACTGATGTTTTAGTCTCCAGGTACCACCCAGGCAGGTGTGCCTTCCAGGACATGGCTCCGTGCCAATTCAGTGACGTCACCAAGCCAAGCTCACCAGGTCAAGGACATAACAGCCTTAGAATAAAACTACCAGAGACCACAAGTTAACAGTTAGGTGATTCCCTGAAGTCCTCATCCATTCAACAGAGAGCCCCATAAGCCCCCAAAATGTGACAGGCTCCAAACTAGACACTGGCCCCAGTTCTACCTTGATGGAGCACCACACAGCCAGCTCATGCACTCTCAGCACCCGAGGTTGAAGTACAGCCTGCCCCCCAGATAAGGAGCAGCCCAAGATCTCACTCCACTCTCCCCCAGCTCATACACAAGGTGCCCACCACACCACTCACTTTTTGTTCGTCGTTCTAACAATGATGCAGCGCTCCTTCTGGGCCACAGAGACGCTATAGACATCCTTTGGGTAGGGGAGATTTCGAATCCGCCACTGGAAACTTGTTTTAGTGTCCTTGCGCATGAAGATGGGCTGTGAAAAGCAAATCAGCCCAGGCTGGCCTTAGACCCGCTGTGTAGTAGGATGACCTTGACTTCTGCTTCTCCTGACTCCACCTCCCCAAGCACTGGGATTGCAGGCATGTGCTATGATGCCCAGGTTATCGAGGCCCATTCTTGGGGAAGGTACAAAGGGTTGGCCCCTTGCCCTCCCCAGGCTCTAGCCAGGGAAGCCGGGGGCCCTCTGCTCTTCTCCATGGCTCCCACCTAAAGCTGCTGTTGCTGTCACACACCAGGCCTGGGGGCCTTGCCCTGCAATGGCCAAGATAAACCCTTGGGGTGTTCACACCAGGGTGGTTAGGTGGGCATAGTGGATATAAGGTGGTGAACCAATCATGGTCCCTGCCCTGAGGGTCAGGAGTCTCCTCCCAGTCCCCATAAGACCCTGGACAAACAGACATACATTGGCATTACTTTCCTTGATGAGCTCGGCTCCCAGGCTCCCGGCTCCTGAGAGCACTGGCTCTCCCACTTCAATCTGCCACTGGCCCAAGGCTCCCAGGGCATTTTTCACACGCCATTTTCTCACTGGGGAGAGAACAAGCGAAGGATTAAAGCTCTTTCCTGCCAAACCTGACAAGACACTGGATAATGGGAGCAGGACACGCCGGGGCTCTGCAGGACACGCCGGGGCTCTGCAGGACACGCCGGGGCTCTGCAGGACACGCCGGGCTCTGGTCTTGATGCTGGGTCTTGTGCATCTGATCTGGGAATCGCATGACCTAGGAAATCAAACTAGGGCATTCCAGCAACAGCTGGCAAAGTCCACTTCAAAGGTAGGCAGACACCTGGAACTGGGATGCAGCCCCGGGAATCATGGGGTGTGGTACCCAGCGGAAGGCAGAGCGCCGACAAAGGCCATTTCTGGAAATCTGGGTCTCCAAATGGAGTTTAGCCGTGGTTTGTTGTTATTTCTTGAGACACAGTCTTCCTAGACAGCCCGGACTGTTTCCAAACTATTCCTTCGGTCTTGGCCTCAAGTGTAAGGACTGCAAGAGTGCCAGATGCTCACCTTCGGATGCATTTTTCCTCTCTAAAAAACTATGCAAAGGAAAATGAACTGAGTGAAAGCTGTTGGCCAGGTTTGTCTCACGATTCAGAAAGTCCAAATAAAGACAGTCGCTTATTTCAGGTACACTTGGCTTAACAACAACTAACAATAAAAGCCCCCACAGCCCAAAAGCTGTGTTTAAATAATCTCGAGTCTGGCAGTGGTGGTGCACGCCTTTAATCCCAGTACTCTGGAGTCAGAGACAGGCAGATTTCTGAGTTCCAGTCCAGCCTGGTCTACAGAGCGAGATCCAGGATAGGCAACAAAATGACACAGAGAAACCCTGTATTGGGGAAAAAGAAAAAAAAAAAAAAAAAAAAAAAACCCCAAAAAAAAAAAAAAAAAAAGACTGTTGTATACCACTCGGCCTGGTTGATGTATTTCTGTGGATCCAACCACAGCCACCTGCATTCTAGGCAAACATTCACCCTACTCAGCCACGTTCCCAGTCTTCAAACCTAGATTCCTGTGTTCATGCATCCTGCTACTTCCATATAAGAAAAAGAGTTTGAGCCAGGCACTGGTGGCGCACACCTTTAATCCAAGCACTTGGGAGGCAGAGGCAGGTGGATCTCTGTGAGTTCAAGGCCAGCCTGGTCTACAGAGTGAGTTCCAGGAAAGACACAAAGCTACACAGAGAAACCCTGTCTCAAGAAACCAAATAAATGAATGAATGAACAAATGAATGAATGAATGAATGAACGATTTCCAGCTGAGGTATAACTCGGTTTTCCCAGTACTAGACTCAACCTCTAGTATTGCAATTAGCAAATAAAGTCTTAGTGATACACTGTATTTTGTGAGATTTATTTATTTTTATGTGCTTGGCCTGCATTTATACACTACATTTTAAATACACTTATTGTAGTGTGATTTGATTTTATAAAATGGACCCTTATATTTATAACTTGATAATGCAAATAACAATTGTTACTTTCCCATGTTTCGCAGCTCAGATGTTTGTGAAAGGTTTTTTCTTGTGGTGGTTGATGTTGTTTTTAACCCTTGCCCTTCCTTCCTCTCGGTTTGTTTTGTGATGAAGAGTCATTCCAGCCTAGATCTACTACTGATCTCAGCGTGGTCGTCTGACTCAGCATCACGGATGCTGGGCTTTTAGACCTGAGCCACCCTGCCTCCTGTTGTTGTTGTTGTTTGTCTTTTAAAATAAGACACATATATTATGGAAATCATAAACCCGGACGTGAGTTCCGTGGGTAGCACTGGGAAAACGTTTGGCCAGGAGCTCACTGCGCCCCACTCAGCCCTGTGCTGGTGGGGGCTGCTGTGCCGTCCCCCAGTGGAGAGGTTTTGCTGAGGTGCGCCCTCTCCCCGCCCTCCTGCTGTAGTAAGAGATCTGGGCTGCCGAGCTGGGGGATCCTACAGCAGGAGCTGAGCAACTCTGAAAGGGCCTGGTGGGCTACCACAGCTGTTGCCAGGGGTGGGTCTCTTTTCAGGGTGGGGCGGAAGGGTGTCAGCATCAGGCCCATGGGCTTCTGGGCAGCCGGGACAGTCTTGCACGTGCTCACTCCTGTGAGCACAAAAGCTGAACACAAAAGTGTGATGTAGAATTAGAACACTCCCTTGAATATGGGCTTTTTATAAGGTCTGCTGCATTCTGCAGTGTGATTTTATTACATCTTAGGGCCAAAAATTCTCCCTAGAAACACATTTGCAAGTTTATAATGAAAATTAATAAGGACGAGTAAAACTTGGAAATATGCTTTCTAGGCAACTTCTTAGGCCCACAAATACTTCCTTAAGTGAATGGACTGTGACCAGGAGTATATGCAAACCTAGTCACTGGAACACCCCACTGGAACACCATGGAAGAAGGCCTCAGGGGCCTCTGTCACAGCTGCAAACAAGTGACAGACACCTCCTAGCAGCAGCTTACTATGACAAAACCTGCTCCCCCCTACAGCGAAGATCACCCTGAGTCCCCAAACCATGTATCAAACGCTATGCACAGAATGGGGTGCAGCTTAGTAGTAGAGCCTCTGCCTAGCATGTGTAAGACCCTGGGTTTGCTCCTCAGCTCTAGGAAGGAGGAGAGAAAACCCAGCAACAGCTATCTATAAAAAAAATCAGGCTGAAAATGACTTTCTCCCCAGGCATGTGACAACAGTATCAGGGAACAGCTCTCGTGCCAGGGTACAACTGTGTAAGCACCTGAGACCATCTGTTGGTTTTCAAGACAGGGTCTCACTATGTAACTCTGACAGTCCTAGAACTCACCAGGTTGGCCGTGAACTCAGAGATCCACCTGCCTCTGCTTCTCAAGTGCTGGGATTAAAGGTGTGCGCCACCACGCCTAGCTGAGACCACTTAGGACTGGGAGCAGACGAGCGCCCCTCGGTCCCCATGGCATGCTGTCTGGCAGAACACAGCCATCACAGGTTTAAAGGGGGCCAAGGTCACTTAGGAAATGTCTAGTCTAACATTTGCTCACTTACTTATTGAGGAGAAAGCACCTCCCCACCTGCTTGTCTTCACCCCTGCCTCTGTTCTCCAGGGGAGCAAGTATAAAGAATGACCGAGGAACAGTGAGATCTATTTGCAAAGGGGACAGGTAAAATTCAGGTCTGCCGATCACGGTGCCACAGACTTAGAAGGCCAGTGGGATGGAGGCTATCTTGTACTAGATAACAAAATCCTGTCTTAAAACAAAACGAACAAAGAATTCAGGTCTTAGACCCCATATTCAGAATTCAGTCATCAATAAAGAGGTAAACTATAGTCTCCAAGTGTCCTAAACAGATGTGGTATTCCGAAAGCCTTCTTCGGTACTTCTTTTTGTTTGTGTTCTCTCTCTCTCCCCCTTCCTTCCTTTGTTTTGAGACAGGGTCTCTCTATGTAGTCCTGGTTGTCCTAGAACCCACTATTTAGATATGGCTGGACTCAAACTCACAGAGACCCCCCTGCCTCTGCCTTCTGAGTGCGGGGATTAAAGGTGCGGGACACCATGGCCCAGCTTGTGTTTCTATCTTTGTACTTTAGCCTCTAAAGGCCAGGTTTGGTTATCTGAAGGGGAAATGTGATGGATTACTACCTAGCTGGGCTGGTAAAGCAGGACGGCCATGTAGTCACGGGCTCCGTTAAACTGGCTGGCCTAGGAACATCACCAGCATGGCTCTTAGAGGCCAGCTCAATCTTCCACAGAAACCTGCCCCAGAAGGAAAAGTCACAGCACTTCCGGTTTCCTTGTTCCTCTCCTCAGTACCACTGGGGGTCACAGGAGTTTGGCACTCTTGGCTGTCTTATTTTGTATGACACCTTGGGGGATTCTAGTCTTCGTCAGAGCGTAACACAGAAAGAGGTTCCCCTTTCCAGCCTTCCAAGAGGCAAATCCGATGGCAGCTTTTGAAGTCCTCACTTTGCCCGTGCGTGTGGGCATGAGCGCACATGTGCAAAGACGCAGCCTTGGCTTTCTGGTCCTCCTTTGTTCCTGTACTCAAGGACAGCTCCTGCGGCAAACGGAGGCTCCTTCCACCTGCTGTCACTGATTTGATTACACGTTAAACCCAAACTGGTGTGCGTAAGGCAGCTCCCTGGGACGCTGTCATCTCTTCCCGGCTGAGTCAGGGCCAGCACTTTGGAAAGTGACCCTGTAAAAGGTCTGACGGGAAATGTATGGAGAAGGCAGTGCCTGGGGACCTTTTCCCAAGTCAGCAAGAAGCAGGCTGATGCCCCCGACTGCTGAAAGCAGCCCCATCTTTCAGGTGGGCTGGAAAGTGGAGGTCCTAAAGGCCTCTTTCCCCAAAGCTCCAAGGCCTGGCCCACTTCCAATACGGATAATTACATTCCCCTTTCCTAAATACTCCCTGCAGCTTAAACTGGATGCAGGATTCTTCTTTTCTGCCCTAAAACACTGCAACATTGCTATGTGGCTATTAAACAGCTGCCGTGGCCCATCCCTGAGGAGGCTGAAGGGAATCGAGTGGGTCATTTATAAAGCCGCTCAAGTGCCTGGGGATGGAAGTGCTCAATCTGCTCCGAAGGCGGCCTGGGGTGGTTAGGCTGGCGGTCAAATACCAAAGCAGATTAAGAGGTAATCCAAATGTAATCGCTGGGGGACAGTCTGCCCTTCAGCCTCGGCCCCCTGGACATGCTGTGTTCTTCTGGGGGTTGGTTTGATGTTCCGATCATTGTTACAAGGCCCTTCAGCTTTTTCCTCTATGAATACATACAGAGTTCATTGTGGGGGGTGGGAATGAATAGCCCCGAGAGGGGAGAAAAAAGATGACACTAACATGCTTATTAACACCGACTGGAGGAACTCTGTCCCAGACAGATGCACACCTACTGGCAATTCTTCCCCTGTAAATTACTTTCTGAGCTTTTTTTCTAGCAGAAAACCTGTTTGACCAATTATCAAATTTGTGTATTAGCTGGGGAAAAAAATGGAAACCATTTCACTGACTGCCGCAAACCATATCCATACTCCACTTCATAGTACGCCAGCCAGTTCTGGTCCTGAAGATCTATTTATACGTTAATAACCAGGCACGGTGGCCTGTGTTTGCAGTCCCAGCTACTTGGGAAACTTGAGGCTGGAGGACCTCCTGAGCCTCCAAAGTTTGAGGCTAGCCTGGGCAATGTCTGGAGACCCCCGTCTCAGAAACAAACAAGCAGACAACTTGTTTGGGCAGTATTTTGCAAGGGCAGTTGGGTTGGGGGTTGGGGGGAGATAAAAAACAAGAAATGGAGCTTCGAGCTTGGTGGCACACACATTTTACCTGAGCTCTGAGGAGGCTTGGATGGGAGGATGGCCGAGCCTGGGGTACACAGTGAGTTCCATGTCTTAAGAAAACAAGAACAAAATAAAGTGAACAGGATTTAAGGATTCTTAGCTCTAACACTATGCCACTGTCCACTGAGACTCAACTACTTCCTAGGATGGAGCCAAGCTTCAGTCTGGACCAGACATCATCCAGCTTTGTGATTTTCAACATGGTGCTTAACTTCTCTGAGCTTACTTCTCCAACTGTAAAATGGGGACAACAGTGCCTATGTCGTGGGGCCTTAAAGAAGATGGTTACATGAAGAAATTCGAGTAGAGCCCCTGGAATGATGCCCGGCTAGTGTGGTAACGTCATTATTAGGTAAATCAGCCAAACGGGGAACTATGTCCCTCCTCCATTCTTGCTGTTAAACAAAAGGAAGTCTGAAGGCTTGCTCGAGCCAACTGCCACCACCAGAAGTGGGGCCGCAGAGCACATCGTGCTCCAAAGAGGAACCTGGCCTTAGTCTTCATTTTAATGCCATGCCCAAGCATGGCAAAGGGGCTGGGACTGTCTACTGTTACAGCCTCCACAGCTCTACCTGCTTTATTTGCTGTGTGGAGAAAAGACAGGCCATGAGGGGCTGGGCAGGAGCGGAGGCTGGACTCAGTGATGGTGGTGGTTAGCTCACGTGACCTCTGCTTTCATAAGTTCTCCCCTGTTAGACATTCCAAGGCTGTCACCCCCTGGGAGCACTATAAATTACAATGCATTGTGAGGATATTACTACTGTATTGGTTTCCAACGAATCAGTGTCATATGCTAAACACATCAAGATTTTTAATAGCACCAGACTAAACCAATTGGGACTGGAGCCCAAGCAGCTCATAAGAAGAAGGGATCAACACTTCACTGCAACTGAGCATGCGCAGCACACACATTTTAAGACTGGAGACGGAGAGAATATGCAAACCAGTATAACCCATGCTGTCAGTGCGAGACATTTATGAGCTGTCAGGAAAAGGGAAAAAGAAATCCCCTCACCAATGCTACCTGTCGATCAGACCCGGGAAGAAATGAAAGTCAGGAATAAGGACAAGAAAATAACTCAGCCCATGATCCCATCCTTGGTCTTAGCATTTCAGGTGCGAGTTAATAAAGAGACCAGCTCCCATGGCAGACAGCTTTGGGCCCTGGGTCACAGGGCCAGCCACCCAGCTCTGGGAAGTCAGTTAATGCCGATTTGCATCCCTGGGAACAGAGAACAAGCAAATCAAATAATCCCCAGAAATCTGAGCTGGAGCTCCTATTCACGAGCCTGTTCTCAAGGAGGGGGACCCTGCGGGCACAAGAGCGATGGTGCCGCAAAACCCGCCATTGCTACCCAGTCACTCATGTCACTCAAGAGGAGGGTCATATTTAATGGGGCCGTCTAGGAGCTGAGGTCAGAAGGCGCCCCGTCCGAGGCTTGCCCTTGGTGTGGCTTCAGCAAGCAACAGAACAAGCAACCAAGAAGCTTGGCGTGCAAGCCTTGCCCTCACCACCACTGCCTCTACCCAGCCTCTTCTGTGATCTGCTCTTCCAGTTGTTTCTTAGAACCTCACCCCTGGCTCAGAGGCTCATCGCCCTTTCCTCTATCTGGAGGTGGGGGATGGGCTGTACTGGGCAGGACTCCACTGGCTCCTCACGTTTATATTGTTCTCAGAACAGTCTTGCCCCCAAGGACTGCCATCTCCCCGCCACGCACACTGCTTGCCGAGCTCCCCGCGCCAGCCCAAGGCCAGAGCGTTCACCTGGAGCTCAGGCAGCCCCACGCGCCGCTGAGGACCCACGGGGAGCCCCACACTTACCAAGTAGTTCACTCGTCTTCTCATCGTACTCTTCGGCCATTTCCTTGCCATCTGGGAACAAATAGTGCACCATCCTCTTCCCTACACACAGAGCAAAGAGCACCTTACCACAAAGCTGCCCTTGACCTCCCCTGCAGACCGAGACGTCTATCCCCCAAACAACAGCCCCACCCCCACCCCCAGAGCCTTGCAGAGCCTCCCCCGAGGTTCTTGCCAACCGATGGCCACCACCGCTTTTAAGATGTGTCCCAGGCTCCCTTCCCTTCTCCCAACGCGTCTTCGCTACGCTGCTTCCACCCCCAAACAAGCCATGCTTCTTCCCGACTGCAGAGCTTTGCTCGCTCTTGGAAACCTGGTTCAAATGTCCCTTCACTGCAAGTCTCCCCTACCTATCACTTGCAGCCACCGTGGCAGATGGGTCCCTTCCCTCTCTGTGCCCCCTCAGCAGCGTCAAAAGCGTCTGACAGGAACGACAGCAATGTCTTTCTCTCCCCACTCCCTACAACCAGGGCCATCCGCCCTGAGAGGAGCTGGGTTCCTGACGGGTACTTCCAGCCACTGTCACTCTGCCTTCGTCTACACATCTCTAGGCCATGGCCAGCACAGGGCCCAGGATGCTACCATCATGTATCTTCCTCCTGACACACACTTGCTTTATGATTTTTACGTCTCTTATGTGAGCTATTGGTTATTCTCTTCCATTGGATTGGGGGGTGGGGGGGTGTCCATGGTTTCCCAGAGATCAGCCACAGGAACTCAAATGCTGACCGAAAGAGTGAAACACATTGATGCAGCATCTATTAAAAGGATAAAAGAGCCTCTGGGAGTCTCCTGGCTCACAGCACTTGTCAAGGGGAGGGCTCTGGACTTGCTTCTTTTTCTCCCAGGCAGGTAAGGAGATACAGGTAGCTACCTCAGGAAGACTGTCCAAAGGGTCTTTGCACCCAGTGGACATGTACCTCCCATCAGCTTCAAGAATAAGAGCCCCAAGGTGGCTTTCTCCTGTTTAACTCACTCCTCTAGGGCAGTTTCCTTGAGTCATTCCAAAATTTGCAAGGTCTCTTGGCAGGCCTCAATAATCAATCAATAATATTAATAATATTCAATAATATCAACGCCCTTAAGAATCTGAATGCTTGCCGGGCGGTGGTGGCGCACGCCTTTAATCCCAGCACTCGGGAGGCAGAGCCAGGCGGATCTCCGTGAGTTCGAGGCCAGCCTGGGCTACCAAGTGAGCTCCAGGAAAAGGCGCAAAGCTACACAGAGAAACCCTGTCTCGAAAAACCAAAA